ATTGGTAATTTTAAACAGTTTTATTACCAACAGCAGTGCCATTTGCTATCTATTTATTTTATTATAACCTAAAACTCATGCACATGCTTATTTCCACTAGCTTTTGACGTATACGCAAACAACAGTTTCCATGTCTGGCTGCTTTCGTCGTCTCGTCCCAGAGCATACACGTAACCACCAAGGGCGGAACACTGAAGAAAAGAGCTGCACTCCTATGCCATGACCTTCCTTCACTGAACCACACAAAGCCACAGAACGTACGAACATTAAGACAGAACTGAAAATGAAATATGCAAAGCAAATTGGTTAACGTGTCAATCATCAATTGGATGCCATACACTGAGGATAGAATTTGCTTTTCAATTTCTCTATATACCTTTCGTCCATCCCTCGCAACCTCTGGTCTTAATCTCATCATAAACAATCATAGAGCTGTTGAATTGGCTTTCCCTGGTACCTACCTTCAGTTAATGTTTGCAAGCCTCTTAAACACTCAAGATCTCTATCATTTTCCTTCTTTATTTTTGCTGCTTTGGAGCTGAAAGTCTTCTGATTTCTTGTTCGCACCACAGCGACGTTTCGGCTGTTTTTTTCAGGAGATTTTCTGCAGCAGAAGAAATAGCATGGGAAGCGCATGCTGCGGCTCAGGTGGTGATGATCATAGTCTGCTGCTAAATTTGGTGCTGCTCCTGCTATTGGCACTGCTGCTTTTCATCGTTTGTCCACCTCAAACAAGAAGAGTCAGAGTTCACTATCGTTGCGACTGCTAACTTCCTATTTGTATACTAGACTCATGACTCATTCACCATCGCTCCCATATCGATCGGAGATCAGAGATTTCTTCCAAGTAACTACTTGTGTTAGAACCATATGTATCGTAAAACTTGGATTGATTTTTCTATTTTCTTGTCTTTTGGTTTAGAACGAAGTTTGTGCCAATACTAGAGAAGATATGTCTAAATGATATGCAAGCATCTTTGCTGTATCTAGCTCTTGAGACTTCAATGTCAGACAAATCATTCTTTGACCATTCTGCTGCAGAGACTTCTTTGTAAGCAAGTTTTGCAGATGGTCGGCTTTTCAGAACTGTAAGTGAAGTAAAACCTTCTGCACCTGTTTTTTACCAGATTTTTGGCAAGTCTGCTATTATCTCCCTTCAAATGCTTCGTTTTCTTTCCCTTTCTATCCTTTATTTATTTATTTATTTATTTAATGTAAACCGTCTTCGCAGCCCCTCAGTGACTCTCCTAATTCTCTCCTTCACCGTCCCTTCACTTTCCTTTCATATAGAGGCTGGAGTCTGGACTACATTTTTTATTTTCTGTTTTCCCTTCTAAATACAGGGGAGTAGTAGAGTCAAAAGAAGAAAGAAGTATGAGTTCCAGCGATTCTTCCTAAAAGCAAGAATTGTTTCAATTTCTTTGGACAGTTGAATAAGATTTAATGTCAAATATCAAACAAAATGCAAGTAATTCCACCCCACATATTCTTGAGCACTAAATAGCCAATCGTGCACTTTTTCTAGTAGCGCAACAGCGCACAATTGGCACCTGATATGGCTACCGAGTGCCACTAAAGCTGGACTGCGGGCAAGGTCAGTATGTAAATCGTTAAGCTGGCGGATGAATTTGAACTCGTTGATGAATTCAGACTCTGCAACATCACCTAAACCAATTTTCATTTCACAATGTACGTATATAAACCAATGTGTAAAGGACATTAATTAGGTTTGACATTCAACTTAAATGTCAATCAATTCATCTAAATTGTTGCTCAAGGGCACTTGTTCTATCCTAGAATGTGTTGGTAAGCACACAAGTACACTGGCCCTAATAAATTTCCAGCTTACCCAACCAGGGCTTTAAGAAGAGACAAATTACTGGTTGGTCTGGACTAAAAGAAAAAGAGTTCCAAGCTTTACCTGTATGACATGATTCAGAAGCCAGTAAAGAATATCTGAAAGACATAAGATCTAATAATACCTTTAAATTGAAAAAGAGAGGGAGTGAAGATGGAAATTGACAGGAAGAGTTGCAGAATCAGGCCAATTTTATGGATCCACAAAGCATTAGAAGAACAATTGTACTATCCAACTACATCCATCAAGATGAGGTTGGTAATTTTGTCATATGACCTAGTTTGGCAGTTTCCAACAGTTGTCATGAGCCAATAGTCTATAGCAAGTTGGCAAAATTTTCCAAACAATAAAAAGAACAACGGTAAATGTCAATCAATATCCACATCCCCACGCTGAATAAATGAATGACCTAATGACCTAAGTTAGACAGCAAACCATGCTTCAGTCAGCGCAGTGTTCATAAAATACTAAAATTTCTTCCCTACGAACTGAGAAGGTTAAGAACAAAAAGCAGTGAATGCTATTTAAAGAATGTGACATCCATGAAAGAAGAAAAACTCAATCATCTAAATAAAGTACGAACTATGAAGGTAAAGTCATCCCTGATGATCCAATATCAGACTGAGGCTGAGCTGATCCAGTCCCTACCGCTACTCCAGCTGCATTTGCTCCTACAGAAGACTGCCCCGTTTCAGCACCTTGTAAAGCCCCTAGGCCTAGCAAAGCCGCTAGCGGTCCATAGTTTCCTATCATACCAGGATTTAAATTATTCAACCCAAAATTCCCACCTATCCCAGCCATTGCAGCAACAGCCAAGCCTGGTTGATTCAAAGCAGCTGCGAGCATTGGATTCCCAACCAACCCAATGCCAGGATTCTGCTGCATGAACATCCCTCCAGCATTCAAACCAGAACCCAAATAGCCTGGATTTATGCCTAAACCATGATTACCACTACCCTGATTCTGCTGTTGATTACTGCCCTTGCTACCACCATTCTTACTATTATTATTATTGTTAAAACCTTCAACAAACTTCTTGCAATTCAATTGCGACCCCTCAAACAACTTAGCAGGCTGCTCCAATGCTTTGTTCAACCCATCAACTGACTTGTACACGAAAATCGCATACCCTCTTGGCTTGTTCGTAGAAGGATCCAACCCCAACGGCCCATCCTCAATCTCCCCAAACTTCCCAAAAAAAGCCCGAAGCCTCTCCACATTAACATTCGGGCCAACGTTAGCCACAAAGAGCTTCCTCTTACTAACCTCGGCAGCCTGTCCTGCCGGGGCAGAACCGGCAGCAGGACCGAGAACCGCGAGCTGGCAACTGACAGTCCGGTTGCCAATTTTCTTCTGAGGATTATTCAGCGCACTTTTGGCGGCAGCCCGAGTTTTGAAGAGGAGAAAAGCGTAACCCTTTGCCCGGCCTGTAACCTTATCAGTTATTAGCTTGAGCTCCTCAACTTCTCCGAAAGGTTCGAAGACTTGGAGGACTTGGTCCTCGGTGGCATCCCAGGCGAGGCCGTGGATGAAGATTTTGCGGTGGGTGTGGGTGGGGTCGGACTCGGCTTTCTCGACGATCCGAGAGAGAATAGATGGGTCCTTTAGGGCCTCTTCTTTTAAAAACCCTAAAATCTGATCCTTGGACAAGGGTTCCAAAAGTTCCCTTAATTTCTCCTTTTTTGATGATTCGTCGTCGTTATTTTGAACCTCTTCTTCTTCATCGGAGATTTTTACAACTTTCTGCTTTTTTGACGAATCATTGCCATTATTTTGAACCTCTTCTCCTTCTTCTTCTTCGGATGAAGACGACGATTCGGAGCCGGACGAGGAGGAATCTTCATCTCCATCTCCATCTGGAGATGAAGATTCCTCTTCTGACGAGGACGATGAAGAGGTATCTTCTGAGGAAGAGTTTTCGTCGTCCGCTTTTCGCTTTCCCGCCATTGAAGGAGAATAGGGTTTTACTGACTGTGACTGGTTGCTGTGCCCGCGATTCTTAAACCCCTTGCAAGCAGTCGTAATATGACTTGGAATTCCCATCGCCCAAACTGGAATACGACTTGGAATAGTTCAAATCCAATTTTTTTTTTTTTTTCGATTGTCATCTCTGCTCCTACTCTATCTACGAGGAGGCTCAACTGAACTTATGAGAATCGATAGGGACAGAACCACCACCAGACCAGACGGGTGCGAGAGCACCCGTCTGGATTTGAAGCAGAGCCACAAGAGTGGCATTTTTTGTGGGAGGCAAGGTTTGACCCTTGCCTTCCACCCCATCAAAGCCTTGCTCCCACCCCACCAAAGTCTTAAGGGCTTGGTGGTGGCCACCAGTCCAAGAGCGGGTGGTTTTCAAATCCAATTAGAAAAACAAAAAGATGTCTAAAAAAATCTCAAAATAAAAAAGATTTACAAATAATTTTTTTATTCGGATACTAGATTTTGTTTTACAATTACGTCTTGTTGGAGTCGAAGGAGCCGGACTGGAGTATTATTATTGACCCATTTTTCTGTGTTTTTTTTTTGTTTTAATCTTCCGGCAGTATAAACTTCAATAAAGCAAAAAGAACGATGTTTTCTTATAATTATGTATGTCTGTCTCGTTGTATCGTACTTTTGAATCAATTTTTAACAAATCGTATCTCATAAATTGTACTTCTTAATCACTTTTTGTAGGAAAATTTTGAATTGAAGAAAAGGAAAAAAGATAAAGGGTTTTTCTCTCGAGTTCATTAGACAAAAGAACAAGAGAGAGAGAGAGAGAGAGAAAACATTGGTAGTTTTAAGAGGATGTGATTAAGTTTTTCCAATGATAGGAAACGTTTTCCGGCTGGAGAATTCTTCTTCTAATCAGCTCTGCTTCCTGCAATCCAAGATTCAAGAGAGAGCAAAATGAATTAGTAACTTCCCCTTACTTTTCCAGTCATCCAAACGGTATCTTTAGGATTGCATTGGCGGAAACAGAAATGAGCAAAACTTATTCTGTGGCTCAGTGCACTCCCAAGGTCAAAGCCACGATACGAATGATTCACCAAGTAGCAGCTCAGGTTATAGCTACTGGCTGGCACATTTCAAGCCTCCAGCATACCAAGCAGAAGTCGTAACTCAATAACTGAAAAAGACATTGAGGGGAAGCTCCCAATCATCACAGTAATTAACATGCAATTTCATTGTCTTCACTTAGAAAAAGTATCAGTAAGCATTCATGAGGGGTGAAATGCATGCAAAAACCCCTGTAAGTAATAACCTATATTCAATTCTCCTTGAGCCTTTCTATAATGTTGAGTCTCTTATCGCAAAAAGAAAGTTCAATGACAAGAAATTAAAGTTCAAATTCCAGCAGAAGTTGAGCAACAGGTGCTATGCAGAGCAAAGTTTCTCAAGGGCCAAATTTTCATCACCACCAACAGCTTCCAGAATACTCCTCACTAAATCTTCAGGAAAGCCCATCTCGATAAGCCTTTTCACCTGCAAATAATCAAAGCATTAGCCAAGAGTTAATTAGTTCCCATAACGTGAGAGATGTCAAGGTGCAATCAGCACTGCTGGTTCACTGGACAACTCTGGTACCCTTCTTGTCAAACCTCTAATTCATGGTATGGGGCTATGAAAATAGTAAATTGCGAAGTTGGAAAAACCAAAAAAAGCAAGCAAAATGGGGTAGAAACAAAATCCACACCTTCTCCTCAACACCTGTTGCTTTGGCAAAAGCTTCTGTCCAGTAGCGAGCTGTGCTGATAAAGGTATTTTGGTCTTTGATATACTGAAAATTTCAATAAAATGGCAAATGAGTTGGTCAAAAAAAGCAAAAAACAAGTGACCAAAGAAGAAGTGATTAAACAGCAAAGATGCAGGTCTCATTGAAAAAGCAAAGCTTATTAATTGGTAATCTATCAGTGTTCTGTCCAGAACCTTGCCAATTTAGTATAGATCATCTAGAAGATAGACTAGCAGTACCACCTGTTTTGCAACAACAGCATCTTGTGGATCATCTGGTGCAGGAGCAGAGAGTAATGCTTGTAGAGAGAGAAGTGCTGTCTTAATAGTGAGCGCAGGGCTCCATTGATCTTTCAGGATGTCCAAGCATATTGCTCCACTCTGACTGCTTATGTTAGGGTGCCTTCAATAAGTATTCAATAGACAAGTCATTAGCACAAAAATTTTCGGAAGCATATTGCTTAACATAATGGCAGTGGAAAACTACAGAAAATTGCACTTTCCTTAAAACATATATATCAGCCAAAAAACTCAATAGCACAACCAATTCAACTTAAAAACAAGAAAAATAAGTAGCGAACCTCTCTTATGGTGACTAATACTGCAGTTTATTTTTTTTTCTTGATATTTTCCGACATCTAAAGGAATACAAATGCATGCAGAGGCCAGCTCTTATGATCCAGAACTGACAACTAACTGGAGTACAGATCCAATTACATAAAGGTTGTCATTCACTTTCCTAAAAGAAAAGTCATGAAGATATCGACAAAGCATAACGTGAAAAGCGATGCACCATGTAGTAAACTAATTCTGGTTGGGGAACCATAAAGACTAAAAAATGCCAATATTCACATAATGGCAATAAACGTCAGTTGTTAACAAGCAAAGCTTAAACTTAAACTAAGCTCTGCATAATATATTTACTGCCAGAACTAAAGCAACAAATTTAAGTACTAAAAAAATGATTACAGACCTCAATCGAATAGTATGTTGACTTTTTCTTGGGGATGGCATAGTATCTCTATCAGTAAGAGAAAAATGACACTGCAAATAAAGAAAACTATTTTCGTACAAAGACGATTGAACCTTAATTACATCATTGTATTTATCATGATTACGCATACGAAGTACGGTCAGCCCCCTCTAAGACTGAAAAACACTTGATCCCATTATTGTAACAGGTTTTCACTATGGAGTTCTGGTTAGTTGTCCTTGTAGATATCCAAACTACTATTGTAAAAGATTAAGCTCGTAAAATAATTACTATAAGCTTGTAAAGATTAATTTATTGATTCCAGACAGCATATATCTACATCTATCTCTATATAAATACAGATATCCATATACATATCGACACATGCATATGTTTACATGTATGTCTAAACTATGACGTAAATGTATTTGTAGCATACAAACAGATATCAATTTCCATATCAAGACAAACATACATCTACATGTATGTCTACACTATAACCTATACATCCATTTCCCTATTGACACATACATAAATCCACATATATGTATACGAAATACAGTGTGCATGATACTACACGCGCATGTGAGCAAATGGTCAAGCTTTGTGAGGTTTTAGCCTACGTGGATTAGAGAGAGAGAGAGGGAGAGAGAGAGGATGCAAATGCGTGCATGCATGTCTAGAGGCAAAAAGAAACTAACATATCATATATCATTTTCTCGACACAAAAATGGTATAACATGATTCACATGCTATATCTGTGTTGAGTATTTTTTATCTCCAACAGGCAATTCCAACACGAAGTGAAATTAATGCAGTTATTGGTAGATACCTTAACATCATTAGCACTTTGGCCCCATCTGGTGTAAAACGTTTCACGATAAATGGTATTTTCTATGCATATCATGCGATGAACACATTCTTTCCTATAAATCTTATAGCATTTGGATGGAAACTGGAATTTTTTATTCATTATATATCTGCTTGTACACACATAAAAATATCCATTTACTGTATTGATCACATACAACCACATATACGTATGTTGACACCAAATGTGTGATAGTACATGCACATGTGAGGGTTGAGTGTGTCTGTTATGGAGATAGAAATAGAGGACCTGAATGTGCGTGTAGAAGCAAAAAGAAACAAACATATCGTATATGATTTCCACATACAGATGGTTTAACATACAAATGACATGCTTCAGCTGTATTAGGTCACAGTTTAGCACCATTAAGTAATCATTTTTATCCCAGCAGGCATTTCTAATGCAAATTAAGCGTGTTTAATCCATCCATTGGTAGATTCGTTAACTAAGAAGCCCTTTGGCTCCGTTAGGTGAGAATGTTTAAAATTATAAGAAAATTATTTTCTAAGAAAATTATAGCCTGCCAACCTTGTGGCTTTTAAATGACAACTGGAATTTATATTTTTCATCTCTAGAATTAAAGGAATGAGGTCTCACTAAAAAATATCTCAACAATGGACCATAAAGGTGTAAGTTTATTGAAAGCATATAACACGTAAGCCTAAAACCAAAGTATATAGGTTAATAGTCATCAATTGTCGGAGGAGATAAACTCTGGAGATAGAGCAACCAGCTATGAGTTTAAAAACTTAAAGCCATAGAAGCAGCATAATGGGCTAGATAAAAGTTTTGAACTATCGACAAAATAAGTTGTCGTTTAAAATGCACAAAATAATTTTGAAGGAAACAAGAATCAAGAAAAAGCTTTCCATCATGTGGACACTAAGTATCCTAAAACAGTTTTGTTTACCAAAAAGCCGATCAACTTCACAAGCTAATGGAGTTATCCATCAGCCCCCTCAATACATGCTTTTCCATGGCATGCAACTATGTAGGAACAGTATGTGGAACGTAACCGAAGCATAAACATGAGCTTGTCATGCCATGAATGTATTGAAAACCACCAAAAACAAAAGAACAAAGACAGATAAACTATTCAAACATGGAAAGTCAAATTACAACTGTGCATCAAGTCTTTCTTCTACAAGCTACAAAAATTGAGTGAATCACACATGCGGTTCTATCTTCAATTTGCTGGGATTGTACCTTTTCCAACAGTTGATGAAAAGAATGCAAAAGCGAGTCCTATATACATGGATTAAGTACAACATAGAAATGAAAAAACATTTCGAAAATGTTGAAGAGACTGCTAATAAACCGTAGAAGCTTTCCTCATACCAAACTTTGGTGGCAAATCTCATTTTGGGAGGCTCAAAAGGGTATCCATCTGCAATGAAACAAGAAGGCCACAATGAACATAGAATCCATCAGCAATTTAAAAAAACACCTTTTTCCATTTCAACCTCAAAAAATGAGATATTACATCCTGTCCAGAAACAAATGTCTGAGCAATGAGATATAACAGATATAGTCAGAATTCCACTTTGTTTTCCTTCATAATCCCCTCAATTCCAAAGATAACCGATAGCATGAGTAGTTTTCTTCTCTGTTTTTCCCTTCTGTTGTTTATTTCTTAACCCTGTAATCAGTTCTTTTTTTCTTTTTTTGACAAGTAACCCTGTAATCAGTTCTTAAATGTAGCTATTAGCACATATTTCATTTAAAAGGGAAAACAATTATAAACGGCCTCCAATTACTACTCAAACATCTAGATTACAATCATTTCTATTCACTCTGTAACCTTCTTAACTAGCCCAATAAATACATAAAACAGCTCTTTTCATCCAAGAAAATCAATATTCAAACAGTTATTTGCACAAATATTCAATCCCGAAAAAACAAAATTCACTCTAACAGGAGACATCACACAAGACATTGGCATGTCGCAAATTCCAAACCACAGCTTTCCGTCACTCTTCGGACAAGATTAAGGCGACCACTTTCAACTTTCAACTTTCAACTTTTAATATAGCTAATTTGTGTTTATCCCCAAAAGCAATTACAACATTCGTTTCCTGTCACCACTAAAGCATGCCTTTACCAAATTCAGAACAAAACTTAAAAACAAAGAATAATAAAAGGAAAAAAAAAACCCATATGGCACCCTTTACCAAAAACTGAAAAAACCCACAATCAAAATCAAGCAAAAATTCAGAAAAAAAAAATCACCTCCATCCTCTTTTTAAAAAATTAATAAATACCCAACGCACATTCATCTATAAACATCTGCACGAAATCAGAGAGGTTCTGCAAGGTATAAAAGGTACCAGGAAGGGTGATGTCGATGTTGAAAGTGCCACCTTCATAAGGAGTACCAAGAGGCCCAGGAATGGTACCAATCAAGTGAATGAGAGAGTCGGCTTTAGGAGCCACGCGTATTCCTGAAACCTCAACGTCTTTGTTGCATTCTTGAAGCTCTTTCTGCACTCTAGCCAAGTCCACCATCTTCAACGATCAAAACACCCCCTCCACCGCTTCCTTTTGATTCTCTGTCAGTCGGTTTAACTTTCCTTCAAAATTCCTTTTGATCAAACTTAATCAGTAACCAATAATCCTATAAAATTGAAGAAATGGGTAGGCAAAGAATTGCTGCGTTTCGTCACCTACACTCTCCCTTTCTCTCCAAGTGTGTGTGTGTGTGTGTGTGTGTGCGCGCTTTTGCTTTACCGTTTTGTTTCTTGAGAGAGAGGGAGGGAGAGAGAGTGTGTGCGTGAGTAGGGAAGCGGTTGGACTTTTGGTGTGTCAGAGACAATTAGTAGTATAACAAAACAAAGCAGACAAAAAATACCTTGAGCTGGCTTTTTTTTTTTTTCCATGGCCGTGCTTTGGGAAATATCCCAAAAATTAATTTTGAGTTTTTTTTTTCTTTGGTAGGATAAAAAATTTGTTTCCAGTACTTTTAGGCTAAAAATTGTTTAATGAAGAAACTATTACAAAACACAACAAAAAAAAAAAAAAAATCTTTTTGCCTTTTGTTTTGTTTCTGTCTTTCTTTCCCACCTTTTTTTTTTTATTTGAATGGTAGATTGCCGAATAGGGTGTCACTTTGAATCTTATGCTTGTTTGGCTAGCATTGGAAATCACTCGTACGGTTATGAATTGGGAGAAGCATTTCTTGATTTCTTTTTGATAAGATATGGGTAGGGATGGCAAGTGTGCTCCGCGGGGGCTAATGGGGAGGCGTTGGGGCGGGGGTGGGGCACGGGAGTGTTCCCTGTCCCCCGCCACTCGCTTTAAAAAAATAAATATATAATATATATGTATATAATTATATATATAATATATAATTTAATTAGTCACAAACTTATAATAATGATATTATTAGTTATATGTATTATATAATGTCTATTAGTATATATAATATAATTGATATTATTAATTATACTAATAATTATATACGTGTATTAATATAAATTATTAATTAATTATACTAAATTTACTAATACATTTATACTAAATCCCTAATTACACTTAATACAATAACATTTTTTTCTTAAAAAAAGCACAAGTACAATAATGAATTAGTGATTGTATTTGTGTTAAAAGTGAAAACTTGACTACTTTAGTTATATTTATTTCATAATGTTGGATTGTATTCAAATAATTTTTATTTGATTGTTTTTATATGTTTCAATTGTAAAATTACAATGAATAATAATTTGATGATGTGTTGATATTTTAGTACCTGATTATTTGCTAAAATTTAACCATAATAAAATTATATAACAAATTTTTATTAACCACCGCGGGAGAAGCGGGGCGGGGCGGGAGGAGTTTGTAGGCAGCGAGGCGGGGGATGCGGGAGGGGTCCCCCGCCCCGTTGCCATCCCTAGATATGGGAAATGTTATTCACTAATTTGCATTCTTATTTCTGTTAATCACATTTTCACTATCATTTTAATTATATAATTTTTATTTATTAGATTATATGATAAAATAAATGATGAAAATATAAATAACAAAAAATAAAATGTAAATAATAAAAAATAGAGTGTAAATAACATTTCTCTAGAATATTAATACTATTAATAATCATGTTAAGATATTGGCATTTCTTCTTCTTTTTCCCGTAAATCTATCTTTTAGGCATATGTAAATTGGCAAGCAATGAGGACGGAGAGTAACAACTAACAATTATTACCATAGGCTGATTTTGCAAAGGCTAGGAACAATTTATTGTCACATCACTCTCAATTAAATCCATACGATGATTCAAAATATTCTTGGTTCAACTTGCATCTGAAATGATGAACAATAATATTTTATACTTGGGCTAGCAATAACTCATAATATGTGTAAACCTATAAAGTAGAAAGAAAATTCTTTTATAGTTTACAAGAAGTAGAGTGGAGAAAAGATTCTTTACTTGACCAGAAATGATGCAGATAAACTGATCAAACTCACAAAACGCGTACACGGTGTACTGTCTTTTGGAATAAAAAAGCAGCAGTAACTAGAGCTTTGTTCTAACTCCTAAAAGTTGTTTTTAATGCTACCATTTACAGCTCCGAAACCCGTTTGGATTGCATTTTTCGTCATTTTCCATGGATTGGATTGTATTTTCCATCATTTTTCATGGAAAAATTACTGTAACGATTTGATGTATGTGAAGGAAAAAGGTAATAGGAAAATGTGATCACGGAAAACGATGCAATTTTTTGGCAGAAAATGGCAATCCAAACACCCTCAAATTACAAGACCAGAGAAAGTGCAGAGAACAACTCAGTATTTTATAGTCTAATTGATATAAAGCTCAGCTGGAAAGTCTCTAAATTATAAAAAGAAAAAAAAAATCATAGCCAAGAGGAATGCTGAATTTTGTAGCAAGATTATCAATGGTTCCATCAGTAACAAATATTGTGGCAACACTATCAATGGTTACATCAGTAACAAATACAAAAGGCAAAAATCAATTACGCTGCATAGACCAGCTCTCAACATCCTGTATGGAGTAGTGATCTCATGACTATGACGGGCCAAAATGCAGAGACTGAGGATCATCTCAACTCTTTAACACATCTGAGGAGGAGGATATCAGAAATCTACCTAAATGATACGCACATAACACCAAAAGACCAGAACCGCCTTGTTGCAGACATCACTATTTGAGCATGGGATATTGCACAACCCAAATCAACAGGCACCAAAAAGAAATGAGAATCTGAAAATTAAGGAAAAATTTGTCAATAATTCCCAAGTAAATTGGTCTACAAGGACAGCAGACTAGAAGGAGCATAACATTCTATCTTAAACTGAAAGACGATATATTCCAACAAGATATTTAAGCAGTGAGTGATATTCAAAAAGAAAACAAACTAGCAGCAGTAGATAACCTCACTGCATTATCAAATTTTGGATTTTTCATTTAAAGAGAAAGTGTAAAATAGCCATGCTTCTCACATTATCCACCCCCGAAAAACCCACCTGGGAAGCCATTTGCTTATTTAGTTCACAGCTTAGGATAAAAAAGAAAGACCTCATACTGTCTTTAGAGGATTGGTCTACAATTTCAAGCTTGCATTGGGAGCTCTTATGTCTAACTTTCTTATCCGGCTAAGAGAAGGATCACAAGCCCTAGTCCCAAATTAAACAGCACATTCCGCACCACTATGCAGCATGCTTCTTCAACAAAAGAAATTCTCTCTCCTACAGATCTTACTCCAAGCAAATCAGGTGCCAACTTATAGTACGAAGGCAGCTAAGGCAATAATAGTTCAGTTTAGGTCAGGGCATTAAGTTATAAAATCCATTGGGGAGCATGATACCAAGGCCAGAGGTAAATAGTTCATTCCCCATGTATATGAAATGTAAATTCATACCCTTCAACTAGCAAAAAATTAGACAAATAATCACCAATAAAAGTTTATCATGGACAAATATATACACTAGAACTTTTGAAGAACGCGGCTACCTTCTCAACTATCAATCATATCCCAAAGTGCCATTATTTTTTCATCTACTAATTTTGCATTACCAGCTGGTGAATGATGCTGCAATGACTAGTATGTAACAGCAATCCTGCAATGCTGTTAGTTATCAACTTTCCACTGGTTTTTTAACTAACTAGTTTTTGGCTTGTGTATACTTATTTAATGTTTGTTGGTGCAATGCTGGAGGAAGTTAATTGTATTTAACGTCACGGGAGAAATAAGGGGAAGGGTATCTATGGAATCACACGCTGTGAGGAAATTACACCAAAAGAAATGCTAATGCCTCATATGTAGTATAGATGTTCAGGATTGACTCATTTGTCAAAGATCTTTCGAGCCAGAAGCAACTTGGACTCTACAAGGCCAAAAATGCAGCAGCATAATTTAGAATCATTTCCCGGCTATGTCAAGTCACAGAACGTCAGAACCCCAGCTAAAATTCATTTTTCATTTTGCATTTTTATCAAATGGTAGATCATAACAAATAAGGGTTTGGTGTTAAGATGTCAGCAATTACAAACTCAAATATGGCATTGTACAGAAAAACTAATTATCCTATCACTAAAGCTACCAGTACACTCATAGAACTTTCTTACAAACTAATAATTATTCTAACGTAAAACAAACTGATAATTGCTTCACATGAGAACCAGACGAACAGCAACTGAAATTTTACAATATAACAATTGTGTTATAAAGTTCCTTGTTCCAACCAAGACTCTTCACAAAATGAGAAGCCTTATTAAAGAGCAATCTACGACAACATTTGCATAAATATATCTAAATTACAAAGCGAAAATTCAATCCTTTCCTAAAACATATTATTTTCGCCAAAACAAATTACCCCAAAAACACAAATACCATTTCCAGAAAAAAGTTTTACTTCCCCTAACCTTAATCTTTCGTAATGTACTCGTCCTTGCGCCCCTCGAACCCAGGCCTCATGAGCTTCTTCTCCCTTTTAGCAATCTTCCTCATCTTTTTATCCCTAATCCTCCCTTCAATGTTCTCCTTCCTCTTCTGCTGCTTCCCCTCCTTAGCCTTCTCCTGGCCCTCAATCCTCTCCTTCCACTTCTCTGCATTTTTTTCCTTCCTCTTCTTCTCCTTCTTCATACTCTCCCTCAACAACCTTGGATCGTCATGCACCTTCACTCCCATTGCCCTATTCTCAGCTGCCCTCCACCATTCCCTCTCTGCTACCCTGGGATTCTCTTTCTTGACCTCCTCCAACCGCTTAGCTCTATCCCACTCCTTCACCTTCGACATTTTCCTCTTCTTCTTCCTCTTCTTCCCTTCCATCTCATCGTCCCCTATCTTCACTTTCCCATACTCTATTATCTCTTCACTGTCATTTTCCACCACTTCAACACCCTTCCCACTGCTCCCTTCACCATCCCTCTTTCTCTTCTTTTCTCCTCTATGATTATCTCTATCCTTATCATCCTCCCTCCCCTTCCTAGCACTCCTATTCCCCTCGCCTCGATTCCCGCGTAACAACTCAATCTTTTTCCTCAATTTCTCACGCAATTCTTCGTAAGTAACCTGCTTTTCTTGACCCTTTTCACCATCATTACCATCCCCACCATTCTTCTCCTCTAAATCAATAGCCCTCGGGACGTCTTGCGGGGGTATTTCAGCAACCTCACCGCCATGGGCACTGGTGTCCAGGGATTGTTTGAGAAGGTCGAGGGTGGAGGAATGGGAGATTTTGTCCGGGTCGAGGCGGTTGCGGCGGGCAAGTTTGAGGTTTTGCTTGGATTGGCGTTTGAGGGAAGCTTTGGCAGCTTTGGAGAGGCCGTGGAAGTAGG